TAGAATAGAATAGAATAGAATAGAATAGAATAGAATAGAATAGAATAGAATAGAATTCTTTATTGGCCTAATGTTATTGGACACACAAGGAATTTGTCTTGGTGCATATGCTCTCAAGATACTTATATCAAGAATCATAGGTATAACACTTAGAAGTAGTCATAGGGTGCTATAAATCATACTAGGAAACATATATATAGGAACATAAAACGTATAAATCATACTAAGAAACATTAATAATAAGCTAGGGCCTATCAAATCATACCAGCAAACAGTCAATAAAATAATAATTAAAAAAATTGTAAGGATATAAGCAACAAAGTTACATTCATACAGTCATAAGTGGGAGGGGGTTATTAAGTGAGCCATGCCCAATTTTACAAACCCTTTTTGTGGCAGTTGTTAAGCAAATCACTGTGGTCATTAAATGAATTATGCAGTTGTTAAAAGAATCCAGCATCCCCCATTAACTTTGTTACTTGGAAGGCAATCATTGGGATGCTTCCGCTATTGTAAACGCATGCTGGTTGCCAAGTACATGAAATTTTTAATCATGGGGTGGGTGATCGTGGGATATTGTGATGGTTGTAGATGCAAGAACTGCTCATATAAGTCACTTTTCCCCCCAGCATCGTCATAACTTTGAATGCTTGCTAAATTCATGGTCATAAGTCAAAGACTGTCTCTTTGGAACAACGAAGGCTGGTTGACTTGCCTGAAAATTAACTGCAAATATAAGAGAAGATGAGGCAGTGATCGCAAATGACTGGTAATCAGAAGGAGCTTCTCCATCCTGTCCCATGGTTTGTAGGTAAGCACCGTACGGTATGAAGAAAATGATCAGTGATGTTATAACGCCATGCAGCAGGCTTAAGAAGAACTTCTTGTAGTTAAAAAGCAAGTCTTTTTGTCCCAAGACGTACAAGTTAGGAAACCGTATGCTCAGTTTATCACTCACATCCTGAATTGAAAGAAGCGAGACAAATGACAATCCATTGTGGTTTTGCTTGAAAATCATTGATCACCTTATACTTCCCCACAACAGATGTACAACATCACATGCAATAAGAAAACAGCAACCTTTTAGCTAATGTGTCAGTGGGCAAAAATGAATTGGCAATGCAAAATATCTGCAGAAAATGTTAAAAAGAAGCTAGATTCACCTTTCTGTTCTTTGAGAAGTTGCACGTTAACTTCCGGATAAGACTTATTAAAGCCTTCTGCCTACCCATTTTATAGAAAAAAAAAAGAGAACCCAAGCTCCACTTTGCAATGTTCATGCACAGGCCCTTCTCCCTTTGGATGTCCAAATCAACACAAAAAGTGTTCCGAAGGGACCAGTGACATGCTCAATACTTAGTATGGGTCCACTCACACTCTGAGTCATCACATAAGTACACAACATGTAAAGGTATGTCTAATCTAGTGAAAAGAAGGACCAGGAGCGATATGATAGCGGTGTTTCAATAGCTGAGGGGCTGCCACAAAGAAGCAACGGATGGAAACTAATGAAGGAGAGAAGCAACCTAAAATGAAGGAGAAATTTCCTAACAGTGAGAACAATTCATCAGTGAAACGGCTCGCCTTCAGAAGTTATGGTGCTCTGTCACTGGAGGATTTTAAGAAGAGATTGGACAGCCATTTGTCCAGAATGGTATAAGGGGTTGAATAGAAGGTCTTTTTTCCAGCTCTATTATCTGATAAACAAGTCAGTCACTAATTGAAGACTCCCTACTCTCAGACTGAACCAATACAAGAAAAGTGTTAATTTCCACACCATATTTGGCAAGTGATGAGTTTATGTTTTAATCTGTTCTTTCAGGGAATTAGCATTAGCAACTGCTAGATTTCCTACGAAGGATTCTAATGATATCAAGGGTACTTCATAGGCAAATAACAGGTTCAAAGGTGTGACATTAATAAAGCAGCCACATGATGGCACTATTTGTCCAACATTAATGCAATACAGTGCCAAACACTTGGAAATGGTTTGCAATGGAATGGATAAGCTTGACATAGTGGCTGTAATGCACTAAGACAAAACCAAAAAACCCATATCATGGCTTATTGTACTGTGTGAATTTACTCAACAGAAATTTCAGAGGCCATGGTTGCATCGCACAGAGAAGCAATGACCAACTTTTAAGGATAAATTTTTAGTTCATTGTTCAAACAAACCTGATCAAGTAATCCAACGAGAAGAACTGGTAGACTGGAATATAATACATTGTATAGTGTGATAAACCAATCCTCGTACACTGTCTGTAATTGCAAAGAAAATATGTTACACCTTTAAAAACATTTATTTAAGTTGTATTTAAATAAACTTAATCCATATCAGAACAAGCAACTTTGGCAACAAGCAGCAATTGAATAAAACAACAAATTTAAAATAATGTAAAAATACATGCTAAAAAGTAAATATTATCAAAAGGAATATACAAAGAGGGGAACCCAGAATGAGATGGAGCCAATCAAGTGGCTTGTTGGATTGTTGTCACCAGGGAGGGAGTGTATTGGTTTTTAAAAAATTATTATTTGTATACTGGGTTTTTATTTTTGTAAGCCACCCAGAGAGCAAGGGAGTGGCCATATAAATTTTCTTAAATAAATAAGAATGGTCAGCTCAACAATGAAGCTATCTAAGCATGTCCCAGAGGTGCTTTTCCAGGAGGCAACTGGACTTCCTTGTTTTTTCTTTTGAAGACATTTTGCTTCTCATCTAAGAAGCTTCTTTAACTCTGACAGGATGGTGGAGAATGAAAGGATTATATTCCTTGCAGACAGCTGGTCATTTGCATTCTTTAGAGGGTCATTGAAAGGATGCAAATGACCAGCTGCAAGGAGTATAAATCCTTCCATTCCCCCCCATCCAGACAGAGCTGAAGAAGCTTCTTGGATGAGAAGTAAAATGTCTTCAAAAGGAAAAAACAAGAAAATCCACTTGCCCCCTGAAAAAGCACCTTTGGGACAACCATAACTTGGATGACTGAGAATCTCTACAGACTTTTATCTAAGCATGTCTTCTCTGGAAGCCCAAGGCCTGATGACATAACCAGATCTTGAGGGACTCCCCCAATATCAAAAGGGGTGGAGGTAATTTCAGGGGGAAGAAAATTCCATAAGATAGAAGGGATGAGCATGCTAAATTATCAAGTCAAATGCTATGGCAGCTAGAACTTCAAGGACCCCTTGTTCATCCCTATCATAACTTTGAACAGTCTCTGAACAAGTTAAGTAAAGTGAAGGCTAACTCTCCTTGAACATCTATCCGAACGCATTCCAATCCTTTTTCATTGCACAAATCAACAGAAACATATAAATTCATAAATATTAGTAAATATTGATTGCTGCAAAAGTTTCCCAAGTTTTCCTGATCCTTTACCTGAGCAGAATAGCCATTGAAGAAGGAGTACCAGAAGTGCACTAATGTAAAAGCAAAGTTTTTATAGAAGAAATACCGAAGGAATTTGCACATTCTAATGTAAGACCATCGTCCATGAACCAGCAACAGCCTCTGGAGATATCTGAACTGTCCAAAAGAGTAGTCACTGGACATGACGGCTTGCATCCCTTCTTGACCACTTATCCCAACACCAATGTGGGCAGCTGGAATAACAATAAAAAATACACACCATTCAGCTAGCTCATTTATTGCAATCAGCTATTGGGTAATTTATTTTTGAAAAATATGTAATGAATAAATGTTTCAAGAAATGTTATGGAACAAAAACAAAATAATTCCTAGTTTTGTGTAATATGTCATGTAGCCTTCATTATTATTTTTATCTGGGCCATCTCTGTGTTTTCCCAAAACTGTAGAGTGATTTTTTTTTTAAGCGCATTTCAGGAATGCAAGTAGCACGAGTTATTTTTAAAAAGCTTTCCATTATTAAAATTTTAACAAAACTTTATTGTGTAATATAATATGAAATTCAGAAACAGACAAAAAGAATGAAAGCACAGAATGCAAAGAATGTGTAGGCTGAGGAATTAAATAAAATACAACAGTAATAGTTTGCATAAAACCATTACTATCATGAGAATAAAGTTTGAGATATGCATACAAACACATTCATGCCTTTTCTTGGAAATGATTTTATGTAACATGGAAAAGGGGAGTAAGAAATAATAAGGCAAAAAAAATAATGCATGATGTAAGAAAACATAATTAAAACTAGTTTCATCAGACAGGCTCAAAGATACTGATCTTCAGCAGCCATCTGGGTTTTCTTTGGTCAATCAAGTATTTCAGTTTTTAGAGAAGTTTTATTTCATTTTGTTTCAATTCAATTTCATTATATTATTTATTTTAAAACATTTGTATAGCCGCTCATCTTTCAGCCAACTCTGGGCGGTTCTCAATCAAAGATTTTAAAAAACCATATAAAGTCAATTTAGTATGGACTAAGCCTTAACTGTATCCATGCCACATTGAATGTTCCCTGCTTAAGGTAATGACAGTGTCAATCAATCAGAGAGGTCCCAAATTATTAGGTATTTCCATATAAGACTGTATGGAATAAGAGTTAAAGATGTCCTGCTTCAACTCTGATTCCAATTTGATATTTAAGCTTCAAATTCAGCTTATGTTTAAAAAGAAAATGTTGCACGCTTTTAAAATATTTTTTTCTGCTTTCACAAATTAGTTGGCAAGATTGGCTCTTAATTTTTGTTTTGGCAAATCAGAGAATTGGCAGTTTCGGGGGAGAATTATGAATTCAATGGTGAAAGGGAGACTAGAGCAACTGAAATGCTAAGGTACAGAGACCAGGGGACAATGGTAAGGAAAAACTTAGTCTCAGAAACCTCTCAACTTTTCTCTTTAGAAATTTCCACCCTAAAACTGCTGATGGGTTGTTTTTTTCCTGAGATGAAAAAGCCTTGAAGAAACTCTTTTTAAAGTCTTTTTTTTTTTCTAGTGACGTAAAAGGTATAACTTTTCTTCCAAGTTTGGCTTGGCTTTACTGCCAAGTCTGAGATAAACAGGGGGCTGGGGTTGTTTTTCACAAACCTAGGGGAATGAAATACCAGTGCTTCAACAAAGATCTATGTAAAGAAATGTTATAGCAAACTTTAACTTTAACAGGCTAATATTAAGAGCCAAGCCAAATCTCAGTTAAAATGGGAATGGTTTCTTTGAGCCTCCAAAAACATTTGTCTAGGAGAAAACCTACTTTATGATAGCAGTGCATATCTATTTTGAATAGAATACAATAACAGAGTTGGAAGGGACCTTGGAGGTCTTCTAGTCCAACCCCTTGCCTAAGCAGGAAACCTTACACTACTTCAGACAAATCTTTTTAAAAACTTCCAGTGTTGGAGCATTCACAACCTCTGGAGGCAAGTTGTTTCACTGATTAATTGTTCTGTCAGGAAATGTCTCCTTAGTTCTAAACTGCTTCTCTCCTTAATTAGTTTCCACCCATTGCTTCTTGCCTTGCCCTCAGTTTTGAGGGAAGCTGTGAATGTTGGTTGGAATAGTTCATTAAACAATAGGGCAAGTCCATTATTGCCTTACATTTAGACAAATCCTGGATCCAGCAGACTGTTTTTCATTAAACCCCATTCTGTTAAACCCAGATCCATTAAATTTAGGGTTTATTATATTTAGAATATAGAAAGATATTTCAACAGAAGCAATGAACCAAACAGTGTATTTATTTATTGCATCAGCCTGTTTGTCAAGGAGCAGAAGTGCCAAATACCTTGGCAGAAGCTATCAAGATACTCAACACAGCCTGGCTACATAAGAATCTTTACTGCATACTAGGGTGAAGCGATGTGAAGTGTAGACAAAGTTGAGGATGTTCTTATACCCACAGTGGTTTCATTACAGTGTTATCCCAACAATTTCACAGACGGTGTTGTATTTCCCAGCCTCTGAACAAGGAACTGTTAGCTGCTGAATTCCTGCCCTAAGAAACTGAAAGTGCCAGTATAATTCCTATAGGTAGTCACGAGTCAGATTTGATGTGCAAGTCCTCCTCACCTGACACTCAAAGGCTTTGCTTAAGGGCAATCTGCCTCTATCTTTTGTGTCTGTCTCAGCCTTGAGAAAGGGACTAGACCTTGACAAACAGGTCAGAGGTTCCATCTATTGATGTTCTTCTCTTTCAAGATGTATTTTGGGGCAAACAAAAACTCCCTCTGTCTTCTATGAAAACTCAAAAGAATACTGAAAAGCTTGTCTGAACTTTGTTGTATAATCTTGTGCAGTATAGAAGCATAATTGAGTGCCTCCAGAAGGTTTCATGGATAAGGTAGAATCTAATAACTGTGCCCAGCAATGTTAGATACCCAGACTGAAACAGACAATGATGCATTAGAAGAGTCATTAAGAGATCCAACCAAGGGTGGGATTCTATTGGTTGGGACAGGTTCTATAGAACCGGTTGTTATGATTCTGCACAGTTCGGAGAATGGGCAAATCATACCCCTGGCTGGCCAGCTGCCCCTCCCCTCCCCACCCAGTAAGTCCTTATCACACATGCGCGACATCATGCACATGCCCGACATTGTTGACTGCGTTCTTCCCCACCCAGTCACTCCTTAAGGTATTTATTTTTCCCGCTCCCGACGATCAGCTGTTCCTATGATCAGTTGTGCCGGGATTCCCCTCGCTGTCTTACTGCTTTGCCCAGGAGACTTCCCTGAGGCCCAGAAGGCCCCAAAACAGAGCATGGGGAGTGCTACATGCCCCCCCAGGCTCCGTTTTTTTTTTGCCTTCCTGGGCCCCAGGGAGCAAAAATGCCCCCAAGAGGCTTTCCTGAGGCCCAGAAGGCCCCAAAAATGGGGGGGGGGTTGTTTGCCAAAAGAAGAAGAAGCCACGCCCACCCAGTCACATGGCCATGCTCATCTAGTCATGCCCACCTAGCCACGCCCGCAGGACCAGTTGTTAAAAAAATTGAATCCCACCCCTGGAACCAACTAAAAGTAAGGAAAAGTTTTCTGGCAGTGAGAAGAATTAATTAATGGATTAGCTTGCTCAATCACTGGAGGTTTTCAAAAATAGACTGGGCAACCCTTAGACTGGGATGGTATAAGGCAGAGGTCTCCAACCTTGGCAACTTTAAGACTTGTGGACTTCAACTCCCAGCTATGCTGGCTGGAGAATTCTGGGAGTTGAAGTCCACAAGTCTTAAAGTTGCCAAGGTTGGAGACCTCTGGTATAAGGTCTACTGCCTTGAGCAGGGGGTTGAACTAGGAGATCTCCAATATGTTCTCCAGCTCTATGATTCTACCTTCTGTGTTCCTTGATTCAGTGTGAAGATGCATTGAAATCTTCCTACCTTCTTCGGAAAACAGAACTCAGCTATATGCAACAAACCCACAACAACAAGAAAATGTTACCCCTGACTTACTTTTAATCATATTCACATCATTAGCACCATCTCCAATAGCCAAGGTTATGGCTTTCTTGTATCTCTTTACCAGGTCGACCACCATGGCTTTCTGTTTGGGGGTAACTCGGCAGCAAATCACAGCATTGCACTCGCAGGCTAAATCCACAAAGTTTCGTTGCTGTTGCTCTTTGCACAAGTCTATCCTTCGCTTTGTCTCCTTATGCCTTTGCTTCTCTTCCACTGTTTTGGGAAATTTCAGTTTCAGGAGCTTCTTCTTCCTCGTTTTCTTCTCCAGAAGAATTTCATTCTGCAAAAAAAGATTCATCTCTATAAATGTGTAGGTAGATAGACAGACAGACAGACAGACAGGGATGGATGGATGGATGGATGGATGGAGATGGAGACATCATATTTCTTAATGCCCATCTCACTCAGAGGAACACATGATGCAAAGGCATGAAAAATAATTAATCGTAGCAAAAGGACAGATGTCTGTTATTAGTAAAAATGGTCTTTAAAAATAAGCAAAACTGACTTCAAGAGATCATGAGATTGGAACCAAAACAATATTTGACCTAATAATCACATTAATTCTTTCTTTTAAAACTTTTCTGATGTTCTCCAGATGAATTACAGTTCTTAAAATCCCCCATTTCCCAAAATGATCAACACTCAGCACATCTTGATGGTAACAAGTTTCAAAACTTTTTCTTTTTCCATTACTACCCCCAAGTAGCAGGTGTAAGAACCCAGAACTTAGCAATAGCAATAGCACTTTGACTTATATACTGCTTTACAGGTTTTTTTTACAGACCTCTCTAAGACGCTTATAGAGCCAGCTTATTGCCCCCAACAATCTGGGTCCTCATTTTACCGACCTCGGAAGGATGGAAATCTGAATCAACCTTGAGCCTGATGAGAATTGAACTGCCAAATTGCAGGCAGCTGGCAGTCCGTAGAAGTAGACTGCAGTACTGCATTCTAACCACTGTGACACCATGACTCCTACTTACCAGCCATGATCCAGTGATAATTAATGCTTGGTTTTTGCCTTCTGTGAAAAAGGGTTCATTGGCTGTATTGGAAGATTTGTCATATGCTCCACTTAGGTTCCTCTGGTTTTCCAGCCTTGTTTGCAAAAGAGCGCTAAGGAAATGTGGTAAGGGGAAACATGTTTTTAGAAATCCATCATGTAAAAAAACATCAAGTCATCGTGACTGAAAACAGAACCAAGTATGTCTTTAAAAACCCTCAATCATGAGGATTTAGCAGATGGTTTTTTGCAGTTTAAGGTGTGCAATGTATTTCAGAGGGCACTCTGCTTTGCTAGAACCCTATTCTATTTCGATAGTTACAAGGTGAGTAAATTGCTTAATTGTGTAATCTCTGGATTTCATCATAAAAAGTTATCCACCCAAACAAGAACTTCCAGAAACAGCACACCTTCTTTGGTTCCTATCAACAATGAACAGTTGAGTTGATTCAGAGGAACAGCAATAGAGAGGTGATAATTCTACCTGTCCTCTTTTTCATCCCACAATATATGAGCAACTTCTTCTTTAAGACTTTGAAAAGTATATCTGCCATGGAAAGTAGGAAAAGAACCTCATATATTATTCTGGTACTGCTCTAACTTGCCAAAGAAGATAGGCTACCATGTTTTCATTGTCAATTAAAGTGGCTTCAATACACAAGAATGCATTGCAATCTTGTTCGATCCCAAACACAGTCAGCACTACAAAACACAACTAAGATATTTATAGTATCTCATTTTGACAACAATTCTGGGCCCACCTAACAAGAAGGAAGGACTCACTGGAGAAGAGCTTAATGCTGGGAATGATTGAGGGCAAAAGAAGAAGGGGAATGACAGAGAATGAGGTGGCTGGATGGAGTCACTGAAGCATTAGGTGTGAGCTTAAATGGACTCCGGAGGAGGGTAAAAGACAGGAAGGCCTGGAGGGATGTTGTCCATGGGGTCGTGATGGGTCGGACATGACTTCAAGACTAACAACAACAACAGTATGTAAATGAAGATTGTACAATTGCCACAATATCACTTAATTAGATATATGGCTAGTGTTAGGGATATAAGTCACCTAACAGCTATTTGGTTTGGAAATATATAAACCAGGATAGACATTTTAATACTGTATCTTTAAGAAAATGCAAAACTGTAATTGTGTGAGGTTTCTCAAATGGCCATAAGATGGAGCCAGAAACCTGGGTTGTCTTAGTCTTAGTCTCAGAAGAGAGTGTATCTCAGTGAGTCTCTTTTTCCTTCTGTTGGAGAGTATTTCCGTTCCTCCTAATTGACTGATATTCATGGATTTGATGTAAGTCTGTTACTGAACTGTTTTTGAAACTGGATTTTGTTATTGGATTAATCCTGGACTAAAAACTGACTGATCTTACCTGTGAATGACTTTGGACTGCCTATTTTGAACTTTACTTAAACTTTCTGGAAGTAAAACCTACATTTACTGTACAGTGTACCTGTGTGCTGTGTGTGTATTATTCAAACACTTCTCTCAATATGTCTCCCTGTATGCGCTCATTCTCCTAATGGGGAATTACTTCAACAGCTAGGCCTGGAGACTCTTTGCCCAATTACAGTGACGAGAAAGACCATTGTTATTTCGTGTTTAGTTGTGATTTCTCCTTCATATTAAGACAAGACTAGAAGTTTAATGTTCACTTTGAACTAATCAGCTTGTTTTCTTTTACTCTTGTTTACTTAATAAAGGAAAGCAGGAGGAATTAAGAAATGTCTAGAAGTTTAGAGCTCACTTTGAGCTAATCTGCTTGTTTTCTTAATAAGGGAAAGAAAGAGGGAGGAATCATCACATAACAATTTTTTTCTTACTGTTAGAGGAGTATAATTGTAGGTTGAACTGTGGGGTCCTTGATGCTCTCTGAGGTTGTCTGTTTTCTTGCAGATGTTTCATTACCAAACTAGGTAACATCATCAGCTAGTAGAGTGTGAGTTTGCGCTCATTTTATATATTAGGGTCATGAAGTCCTGATGCCAGGTTTTGATAAAAACCATGGGGTTGTTGTTGTTTGTGGGGTGCTTATGCACAGAATCTAGCATTAGATACTGTGGAGACTGGTCACCCTTGGGGTATTTCTGCTACTGTCCTTAAGTAGTTCCTGGTAGCTTGTAAGTCATCTTAGACTTGCATACTTTTGCATACTTTTCACGTTATGCTTTTAAATCTATTTGCTTTAGCTAATAATAAAACTTAAAATCCCTTTATTTACTGGTGCGCTTATTGTCTCTGGATCCAAAAGAACCAATTACCTGGGTACCTGATTACTGCTCTGACACTTGGCAAAACACCAAATTAAATGTTCCATACCAACATTCATCAGAGTGATTCTCTCAACTCAGAGAATGTTCAACTAGCCATTAGTCTCATCTAACCAGCCCCTGGTCACTTTGGCTTGTAATTCTCTGAGCATATTTAGAGATACAAAGATACAGAACGCATCTGTCACTTCGCAAAGTTGTTGCACATTGGCAGCTAATGCAGAGGATTGCACCCTGGGGAATCCAAAGTACTTATTAGAATCAAATCCAAAACATTTAGATAGCTTTTAATGTAATCTCTTGCATTAAAATGGATTTACCTGATGTCTTCTCCGTAGTGGATATTAGTTTCATCTGTTAAGAGTTCACAGGAATAACCAATATTTTCCGCAGTTTCTGTAAGGGGAAAATGCCAAGTCACAGTTTGTTTTCTCATTTTTTTCCCATGCATGCAGGTGAATATATCCAGTCATCAATTAAAAAGAAATAAATGTTAGAATTATTTGCTGCCCATGGATAATTTACCTTGGTGAAAATAAGCAGCAACTGATTATACAAATTACCTTTTTTGTCACCTGTCAAAACCCAGATCTTAATATCTGCTTTTGACAATTTGGAGATGGTTTCTGGCACCCCATCTTGTAACTTGTCTTCTATTGCTGTGGCACCTAGAAGCTGCAGATTAAGAAAGGATGAGGTTTATTTAACATGGATACAGTAAGTACCTTTCAGCTATTAATGGTTTATCATTCACACAAACTGTCAAAATATTAAAATTGGCTATCCTAATATTCCATGAGATAAACTACGAACTGAAGGATATGACCATGGATGTTAGTGTACCTCAATAATATTTAGTTATTATTTACATCCCACCCTATCTTTTAATACTCAAGTTGTCTTACATGGGGGTATCTCTAATTTTATCTCCAGAAATAGGATAGATTAAGAGAAAGGTGATTGGCCCTAATGAGGTCTCTATTTAATAGGAATTTAGCAATAGCATTTAAACTGTTACACCACCCCATGGTATTTTATAGGACTCTTTGGGCAATTTACAATGTACAAACATTATTTGCACATTGCCCCAACAATCTGTATCCTCATTTTACTGATCTTGGATGGAGGGAAGGCCTTTTATTTTATTTATTTATTTATTTATTTATTTATTTATTTATTTATTTATTTATTTATTTATTGTCAATTGCTTACAAGATAATAGGTATAAAAAAACATAGTTATGAATACATGGATACATATAAGAAATTTTTTTTAAAAAGAAAGAAACAATAGGACAGGGACGGTAGGCACGTTGGTGAGCTTATGCACACCCCCTACAGACCTCTTAGGAAAGGGGTGAGGTCAATAGTAGACAGTCTAAAGTTAAAGTTTTTGGGGTTTGGGGAAAGGCTGAGTCAACCTTGAACCCTGTCAGGATTGAACTCCAGCCTGTGGGCAGAGTTTGCATGTAATGCTGCATTCTAACCACTGTGCCACCAGGGCTCCTAATCCAGGACCAAAATAGTCACCATTACACCCTGCTAGGAAGTCCCCCCGCCCCCCAATTAAAATATTCTTTATTCTTAATATTATGAGAGGCAGGATAGAATATTTCCTTAAAGGAGAAATGGCGGGACGCATTCTTAAAGGCAGAAAGCAGCCCCAGTCTTTCTGCATAATAAACCAGCCCCCAGCAGATGCCTGAAGTTTTTAGAGATGGATATTTTGTGCCCATTAAGAAATCCAGGCCAGCCTATTCATAAACAAAAACACCTCCAGCCCAGCTCCCCCAGAAGGGATTCCAAGTAGAAAAACAGACTCCTAAAATCTACATCCCCCACCCACATTCTCAGAACAGGACATGAGCTCTAGGACTTAACAGGATTAAACCACCACCATTAGAAAAGCAAAAGACACAAGGCTCACTACATTGCACAACTTCCTGGAGCATCTCAATCTGAACCGTATAAAGATCCATCCATTCACTCAGCCATTTGGTCAGCTACCCTATAAATGTGCTTCTGTCACTGAAATTTCTGGCAACCAAATAAACAGACACTTTCTTTCCAACCAGCCAGCCTCCATTTTATTTCCAGCATCTTTCTTCTGTCTTGGAACCGGACTGGATTTTTCTTCCTATGTTACATTCTTCTTTTATGCCAAGCAAACACTATCTGATTACAATCCCATGAGTAAGGTTACCCCGAGAGAAAGACACAGCAGCTATCTTAGCAACATCAAATGACCTTCATGTTTACATGAGGATCTGAATCCAGGTTTCTCTAATTCCTAGTTTGACATCCTAAATATGACGCTACCTCTAACCTTCACTACCAAAAAGTGGAGGAGCTAAAGGACAATCAACATCTCACTTGCATTTGTTTTCCTTTCTGGGCTGCAGCCTCTGTATGGCCATAGTTGGTAGTCTTAGAGCTCAGGTTTTACATTACATTTATACATTTTTTTCTAGGTCAGGTTTCCCTCCCACTCAAATATGTTAGAGTATATCACCCAAAGTCCTTAGAATTCATCTATGCAAGCTGAGAACTTACTAGAGGAAACACGTTGGGGAAAGTTGCTTTAGCTAGAAGGATAAAACTCCTCAATGAAAATATGTAAATTTATTGGAAACTATTTTAGGGGCATAAGGCGAACTCTGGATTTGTTCCACATCCAACCTTTGAATTTATTATTAAAGAGTTATATCTTAATTTGATCTATACTTCCAGTATTTGTTTAACATACTGCTTATAGTTTATAGTTGCATCAGTGATTAAACATGTATAAACCCGAATGGGATATCTGGATTTTGTATGAAGGTTGAGAGTAGGTAGCAGCAGATGTTTCTCTCTCCTAAGACACAAAGAAAAAAAATATCTGCTACGAACTCTGCGTGGCATCAGGAAGGGCGTCCAGCTAGTAAACGCTCAGCTCCACCCATTCACCCCAACTCTACCTCAAATTAAGGGATTAGAGGGTCATAAAAATGAAGGGTTTTTTTTTTACAGAGAAAGAATATGAAATATTCTACAATATTATTATGATGTATTGTGTCTACAAAGGGGAAGATAGTGTAATGGGCCAGTAGTGAAGTGGTGGCCGTTTTCCAGAAAGGATGAAGGAGCACATTTCAAGGAGAGGTTAAGAAAAGAGGCAGCACCAGAGGCGATATTCAGCTAGTTCGGACCAGTTCTGGCATACCGGTAGCGGAAATTTTGAGTAGTTCGGAGAACCAGCAAATACCACCTCTAGCTGGCTTCACCCACTTGCACCCGCCCTTTCCTGTCCTATACTTGTTTTTTAGCTCAGCTGATTCACTTGGCAGAGCAGATTGCTATGCCTCAGCTGAGCTAAAAACAGTTCACCTGACTAGTGCTGATACAGAGGGTGGTTTTTAAGTGCTGCATACGCAGGCAAAGCATGTTGTCATAGAATCGGCAGGAAAAAATGTGGAATCCCACCACTGGGCAGCCCAGCCCTGAGCTGAATAGGAGGCAGAGGAAGAAAGTTGGAATAGCCACTCCCTAGAATCTCTGGGGTAAAAGCAATAAAGATTTTGTCTGGCAAGATTCTGTCTATATGCTGTGAACAAACAAAGGACTGAACTTTGACTGAATTGTTCTATGTTGTAATTGGGTTGGGCCTGACAATTATAATCTTTAATACTGGAATATGTTAGTTTGTATGAATGCCTCGGATCCATTGTTTACACACCTGTGTTTTATTATTCATACCTTATTTCCTGTTCTCGGGCATCTTTTAATATATTTCTTTTACTTATATTATCTTTACTCACATGCTTTCAAAATAATAATAAAGCAATAAAAAGAATATACGTGCTTTTGTAACTATTGTGTAGACTGGAAAATCAGGGTGAAAAAATATAAGTGGGACAGACCTCCTAAGAAACATTTGCAAGGTCAAATGGAAGGTCAAAGAATAAACCTCCTATCTCAGGTCCCCATCAAACTTACAATTAGATTTTGCTCAATTTCTTCATACACTCTATCCAGAGCTGCCTCCCGGTTTCCTAAGGCCAGAGAAGCTTCCATGAACTTCTTCTCCCATGCTTCATATTCATAATGGCTAATTTCCTTATAGCAAAGGCACAATGTTCGAAGGGTTTCATTTGCAAAGATCTGCCAAAGAGAGAAAAACAATGGCTGAAAGAACGTATTTGTTTCTGATCTGAACTTACTCTCTTTGGGGATGAAAGGTAAAAATCTTCATTCATTCTAATCATCATCATTATTATTTATCAAACTTATATGCTACTCAACTCTTAACGCCTTTGGCAGGTCACAACAATCAAAATGAAGAACTGTATATACAGATAATCCTTGATTTAAGACTGGTCACTTAACAATCATTCAACATTACAATTCGACCTGGATTTTGAAGTTCTGATGGTTGCCCCCAGTCATGTGATTGCATTTTGGCTTGCATTTATGACTGTATGCAGCATCCTGTGATCACGTGACCATTGTTTATGAAAGTTTTTTTGTGAAAAGGGGCATTTATTTCCAGTTTCCGGGAAAAACACACATTGTGGACGATGGGATCATTAAATGCCATGGATTCATTTAGTGACCATGGTGATTTACTTAAACTCTAGTGGCTAAGGTACCAGGCTAGAAATCAGGAGATTGTGAGTTCTAGTCCTGCCTTAGGCATAAAAGCTGGCTGGCCAGTTGCTCTCTCTCTCAAGCCAACGCAACTCACAGGGTTGTTGTTGTCAGGAAAACAGGGGGAGGAAGAAGTATTAAATATGTTCACCATCCTGAGTTTTTTTATAAAAATAATAAAGACAGGAGAAAATATCTACAATTAAAAAGTCTAGACTCTAGGACCTTGAATTGTACTCAGAAGCAAACTGACAATCTGTGTGAATTTGAAGCAAAGGTTTTAGATTTAGAACTTAGAATAACTTTGAATGTATACTAATTGGCATACTTTAAAATGAAATCTCGTTGCACAAAAGGGTCACCAATATACACTACATAAACATGACAAAAATATGAATAAATAAATAAATAATAATGCATTTAGCCATATATCCACATATATTATTTGACACAGAGAAACAACACAGTCTAGTTCGGATGTATAAATGTACATGGTAAGAAAAAGTTTATAAAGCTGTTACAGAATCTGGTAGTCCTGCTAGAAATATTTCAAAGCTTCCCCCCACATAGGAGAAACAGAAACAGACTGTAAAGTGGGTGTGTGGGGTCTCTGACAATGCTCTGAGCTCTAAGCACATAGTGTTTATAAGTAGTATCCTGAATAATGGGAGGTGAACTTCCTATAGTCTTCTTGGTTGTCTTTACCACTCTCTGTATGGACTTTCTATCTGAGGCATTGCTGCCACCAAACCAAACAGTGATGCTGTTTGTTAAAATGGCATACCAAGGCACTATCTATTACTGCTTGTGTCACTGCATCCTGGACCAGCTGAAGCTTCTAGATTAAGGGCACTCCTAGACAGAAGGCATTACAGAAGTCAAACCATGAGATGAGTAAGAAAGTCAGACATTTTCATTTGTATTAATACTAGATGCCTTCTAAAGGGAAAAAATGGAGGCACATACAGGCAAATCAACTATGAAAAATTAAAAAGTATATTAATGATGTTTAGTCTGGACCTATGATATAAAATCGATACTAACAACTACATTAAAAAATAAGAACAAGAAGCTTATCAAAACAGTGCAATTTCATATTGGTACAAGAAAAATCCATTGTCTTCAGGAGCCTGACTTTTAGTATTGCAGCTGTTTGTTTATTTTATTTATCAAATTCATCACATTTAAATACCATCCATTTCACTCTCAGATGCCTTTCTACTTCAATCTCAGAAAAATGCTACTGTATAGTGAAACAAATTTCAGTTTGTAGCTAGTTTTAATAGTTATCCTGGTAAGATATTCCAACTTACATTCAATGCATCTTCGGTATCCTGTTTGTTAGGATTTCTTGGATGCAGCCGTTCAAAAATCACTGTATCGGCTCCTTTGCAATAAAGTTTGATGGCCCCATTGGGATCTCTTGCTACAAAAAGCAAACAGAAAGAATTGGAAAAGGAACCCGTTGCTTTACCGAAGCTAAGTTATTAAAACAGATATATTTTACAGAAAATACATGCAGTCTTACACTTGAACATTGCCAAACAGGAATCTTTGCAACACTTCAGAATCATTTTTAGAATTTTATTATCATCATTAAGTGAACCAATTATTTTCTAGCTGAGCTGCAGGAAGAATGATGTTTCAGTTTGCAAATATTGAAGCCTTGCAGAGTTTGGGAGGCTGTTTTTTCCATAGGCAGACATTATTCCTTCCTTTTGCTTCAGAATTTCAGATGTTCTGTTTACAGGTTCTTTAAGGGGAATAGTGGTTTGACAGCTTTGCAGAGACCACCACCAACACTTTACAATGATTTTTTTTTTTTTGCATAAATTGTACAAACATACACCACCTTACTGATTCCACTTTAAATGCAACCTGGATTGACCTGAGCTGTTTTGACTCTTTCAGATTATGACAATTATTCTCCACAGTAGCCTAAATAAAGGGAGTTGGGATAAAATTGATCAGGTGCATGTTGATCCCTTTTTAGTAGAGGACCAATGAAGAAAAGATGATTTATTTCCTTTTTGCATAGTATGCAAGTGGAGATGAAGTGATCGTTATTCTAGAGTGGAGAGTTGATTTATTGATAGATTTATTACATTTATACGCTATTCATCTCACTCTGAAAAGTTACTGATTAGATGGTGCATTTCAAAGTCATTGGAGAGATTGGTGAGTTAATCAGTAAAAAAATTATTTTTTCGAAGTGCCCAAGTGACACTGCAAAGGACACCAACAATTTGTGGGCAGTACATGTTAATTATTATGGAAGCAGCATGTGGGATTCACCTTAGAAAATAGGGGAAAGAGGCGAGCCACAGCTAGGAGAGAGTTTGGATAAAAGGCAGCGTAGCCCACAAATGGACTATGGGCATAGCAAAAGAGGGGCCCCACCCTAGCTTCTTGAGCTGTAAAGGTGATGGGGTGAAATCTAATTTCCGACTTGCAAGATTATGTTAATGTAACCTTACAATAAAGTAGAATTGGTTCCCTAGGCATGCTTCCTGTTGGGCTACCTTGCAGGCTGGCATGTAGACAATGGAAGATCACAGTGAAAATACAGAAATACAGAATTGGTCACTGCCAATTCTTTTAAAAATAGCTCTCAGTCCCTTAACTGATTCACAGAGCTCAATTTGATTAAGGCAATTAGGGAAGAGGGGTACATTAAGTTGTTCCAAGTCCTTGGGATGTGAATAAATACAATCAAACCTTAGGGCAAAAGTCTCACGTTGCCAAAGATTTTAATCCTAGTAATGGTGAATTATATAGCTATAGTGCTTTGCCCTTAAGGGACTTTGTCATCTATTTTGCTTAGCACATGAAGAGCAAGAGGAATAGCCTGTTAAGCTGATACCATCTTCACGGTCCCAAGGTTAGGTAACATGGAACTTGACTGCATGGGAGAAGTAAGGCTGATATGACCATTTGGTATGAAGTTATACTAGAACAGCATCTATTTTAATTATTTTCCTCTTAAGACAGACAAGCTGAGGTGTTTTCTTCCTGAAATAGAACTCTGTGGTATTACCTTTTTCTAGAACTGGAAAAAAGCTGTTGACTTACTGATAACAGACATCCTTTTTCTGTCACTGTTGAAATCCAAAATGGCAAGCACGTCATAGGTTTTCACAGTTCCCATTTCGCTTATTGTAATGGTATTTTGCGTGCGTGAGAGGAAAGCATAACCAAAGTTTCTGGCTGCAGTTACCAATGCCCCCTCATCCGGAGAAGCAGCATGATAGTTGAGCTCACCTTGAAGGAAAAAAAAATGAGCATTTTTTACATGCCTTCCAAACTGATCCTGCAGTTACCTTATTCCTAGTATTTATTTATTGCATATATTCATTCTTTGGCTTATTTATCATCACCAGTCTTTGTTCCTGGAAGCTCAAAGTGGCAAAAATAGAGTTGCCCTTTGGGTCATCTTCTCCAGCAACAACTCTGTAATTAGTTTAGTTTACTTTATTGTCATTGCACCTCATACAACGAAATTAAATGCCATCTTCAGTGTACGTTATAACTATAAAAATAAAACACAAACACACATCCTTCGCATTCTATACAATTGAATTGAAAACCCCTCATATTGCATTAATATTGCACTATATAGTAGAATTCAATATAGCTACCACTCTGGGATAGCAGCTGTTTTTTAGCCTATTTGTCCTTATTTTTATTGTTCTGTACCCTCTGCCAGATGATAATAGTTCAAAAACAAGGGTGTCCAGGATGAGATGGATCTTTAAGAATGTTTTGAACTTTCTTAAGGCAGCGGGAGCTATAAAGCTCTTCCAAAGAGGGGAGAGGGCAACCAACGATCTCCTGGGCAATGACGTTAACCCTCTGGAGTGCTTTCCTATCTGCCACTGTGCAATTGGCAAGCAATACAGAGGTGCAATAAATTAAAATACTCTCCATGGTGCAGCAGTAGAAGGCTACCAGCAGTTTTTCATTCAATTGTTGTTTCTTGAAGTCTCAGGTAGTATAATCTCTGCTGGGCCCTTTTGACAAATGCTGCAATGTGAGCACCCCAGGTCAGGTCCTCTTTTATGGTAACACCCAGAAACTTAAAACTGGCCACTTGCTCCACTTGGTCTCCACTGATAAGCAAGGACTAATCTAGTAGGAGTTAAGTGAGAGCAATAGCTCTCAAGTTAGGACATTACATGATTCTCCACAGTCCAAAACAGTATCTTAACTAGTGTATTACACCAGGTTTATGCGGATTGGCTCATTGTGCACATGTTTTCCATATTGGTAAAATAATATATAGGACCATCTAGAGCAGGGGTGTCAAACTCGCAACAACTCGGCATCATCATGTGATGTATCACAACTTTTTCCCCCTTCATTAAACCGGGCTTGGGCATGGTCAATGCATGATGCATCCAGGCCGCAGGACACGAGTTTGATAACCCTGATCTAAAGTCACCTCTGAGCCCCAGATTTTAGCAGAGTCTCAGGCAAGATATTCTATCATTGGAATGTGGCTTGTACAAGTATGATGGCAAAAAGGGCACAGGAAGACCTCGACTTACAATCACAACACAAAATTTCTGTTGCTAAGTGAGGCATTTGTTCAGTGAATCACTGCAACTGTTAAGGTAGTTACATGGTTGATTAAGTGAATCTGGCTTCTCCATTGACTTTGTTTGTCAGAAGGCCGCAAAAGGGGATTACATGATGTTGTGGCTCCGATACCCGAGCCTGTGCTGTTAGAGGAAGAGGACTTGGAAGATGAGGAGGAGGAACTGGGAATGCCTTCCTGCCCAGGACCTTCCTCTCTGGCAATGCCTTCCTCCCTGATAATGCCTCAGGTTTCATCAGACAACCGAGAGGAACAGCCTGAGATTAATCAGGAGGAAGGCATATCGGAGCAGCCCCTGTCAGGGAGTCAAGAGGAAGAATGTTGGCTTGATCCTAGGCAGAGTCATAGGGAGAAACGTGAGCAGCAACGTAGGAGGCGTGGGAGGGTTAGAGAGTGAGCTGAGTCATTGAGCCACACCCCACAGGGGATAGAAGTGGGTGTGTTGTCGGCTGGAACTTTCTACGGGACAACGTTTAATCTTACTTCAGGTTTTTCGTTGTGAATGATTCTTGTGGTCTGCCTTGTAATTTTCTGTAAGAAGCTTTTTACTTGTTATCAGTTCGGACTTGACAGGCAGAGCGTGTTGGAATGCCAAGGACGTTATCAGTTCCAAAGAATTAACTCTGTGAAGTCCGAGCCAGCTTGCCTGCCTGTGTTTGTGTGAGTTTGTACTCTTTCATCTTTTGAGAAAGAAGAAAGGTGAGCCAGAACAACATGTTCTCGAGACACTGCAGCCATCATAAATATGAACCAGTTGTCAAGCATCCAAATTTTGATCATGTGACCATGGGGATACTGCAAAAGTCGTAATTGTGAAAAACGGTCATAAGTCAACTTTTTTTCAGCGCCATTGTAACTTTAAACGACCACTGAATGAACTGTGTAAGTCAAGGACCACCTGTATCTTCATTGCCATTAAACCGACTGTGAAGTTGGTTCAATAATCTGATTTATTCCAAACCTAATTAATGATTGTTTCTCATTCAGCTGAACTAAAAAAATCATAGTTCAATGAAAAACCTCATACAGGACTGAGGAGCAATTAAAGGATTTTATGCAAGCAAGCATGCTTCTGATTCACTTGATAACCAAGATAAATTTGTTTAATATGGACTAAAGTTTAGGAGGTGGAAAATTATGAGATAAGAAGGAGTAGAATGCTTTGAGCACCAATGTCAGAAAAATGGTTTCTTGGCATTGCAAATATTGGCCAACAAATGATCATGTGATCATTTCTGACAGGAATATCTGTAATAGTAATATCTGTAATAATAGGTCAGATGTAATATCTGTAATAGTAGGTCAGATGTAATATCTGTAATAGTAGGTCAGATGTAATATCTGTAATAGTAGGTCAGATGTTCCTTTCAATAATGTATACTTTAGAAAAATAAAGATATAACAGCCTTCGAAAATTAAGCACCTAATCATAAATATGAAGTGGGTAGCTGCTCAAAATGAATAAACAAATAAGATTCTTTGGCATTGTACAGCACACATTAAATACCACGTTTCTCTGAAAATAAGACCATCTTATTGTTTTTTGGGCCCCAAAATAAGCACTAAGGCTTATTTTCAGGGGTTGTCTTATTTTTCCCCCCATGTATGGGAGGCTCACTACTTCTGCTTACTTGTGGCAGGACAGGAGGCTTGCTACCACGAGGTGAGGAGGTGGCACTGCCTACCTCAGAGCCTCTGCAGCCAGGCCATCCATGTCCCAACACCTGCCTCACGTCACAGCCGCAGCACCAACACACAACCAAGCAGAAGTGAGCCTGTGGCCAGACGGGCTCCTGCTGCACATGGTTCCTGCTGCTGCTGCCATGAGGTAGGTGTCAGGGCATAGAAGCCTAGCTGCAGGGCTCCACCCCCCACCGCACCTTGTGACTGCGACACTGCAAGCAACCAGAGGGAATGGGAGGGTGGGTGGCTCCGTAGGCTCTTAAGTAGGGCTTATTTGGGGGTAGGGCTTATATTAGGTGCACATATAAAAACATGCTAGGTCTTATTTTTGGGGAAACAGGAGTAGGAGTATACCAGATCATGCCAGGTAGCACTTACCATCACTAGCATCTACCATCACTGTATGACAAATTGCCAGAAGGAGGAAGAATTGCTGAATTTCAGTTTCCTTCCTAGTTTTAATTTTTTCAATCAGGTAATGATCGTAAAAATTAAGTTTTCCATCTGCATACATATTCCAGCTTAAATCCACTTGCTAAAAAATAATAATAATAAAATACAACATAGTAATTATAGGCATTATTTTAAATAATGACTAATCCCTTGACCGAATTCCCTAACAGAGCACCCCTGGTTTCCAATCTTCCCATACGCATGCTACAACACCAAATGATAAATGAACTATTATCTTTACTTTTCAGAATATTTAATTTTGAATATTAAGGCCCTTATATCCACCACTGCCTTAAAGGTAAATGTCCATCTTCTCATAATGAAATCCTGGGAGGGGCAGAGAACCCTGAGATAATCATACAGGTAGACATCAACTTACAACCACAACTGAGTCCAAAATTTCTGTTGCTAAGCAAGACTGTGGTTATGTGAGTTTTGCTCCATTTTATGACCTTTCTTGCCACGGTTGTTAAGTGAATCACTGAAGTTGTTAATAACACAGTGGTTAAGTAAATCTGGCTTTCCCATTGACTTTGCTTGTTAGATAATCAAAAAAGGTGACTCTGGGACATGCAACCATCATAAATACATGCCAATCATCATAAATACATGCCAAGTAGCCAAATTTCGATCAAGTGACCATAAGGGAAGCTACAATGGTTGTAAGTGTGAAAAACAGTCGGAAGTCAACTTTTTTCAGTGCTTTGTAACTTTGGACAGTTACTAAACAAATGATTGTAAGTTGAAGACTACCTGTATCGTAAGAGACTAGAAAAGTACTTCTGGTAAAAATAGCTCTTGACAGTCATTTGATTCCCAAGGCCATAACCTCTTAAAATTCCTCCAGGGTTACCAGCCACAAACAACGGAGGGCTCCTAGTCTAATTAATTTACAACCAAAGTAAAACATAAGTAGTGCCCACCTATACTGTGATTTATTGAACTGGGAATCATCAATAATCCACCAATGGAAAAAGATGCACTGGCTCAAATTTTCCATATGATAACACATTTTAAATTTGCCATATGCAATCCCACAAAGCTACCTATTTCAGGTAGCAAAATCATCATCATCATCATCACCATCATCTATGGCTTCCTTGAATCCTTGTAAATATTTTTTGTCAGGGCTAGTTAGATGGTCAACCGAATTTGCATTGTTTTACTCTATTTCCAATTTTATTTTCAGTTAATTTTAAGAACCTGTTGACACCAGTCAGAAGCAGGTTATGCAAGATGAGACAAACGGATTCTTTCCATTTTTGTAACCATCCATTTCTGCCTTTTTATAACCATCTGTTACTTGTCCCAACTTCTGCCAACCTAGCAGATCAAAAGCAAGTAGAAAAATAGGGACCACTCTGGTGGGAAGGTAACAGCATTCCGTGCACCTTCGGCATTTACTCATGACAGCCACATGACCATGGAGACGTCTTCAGACAGTGCTGGCTCTTTGGCTTTGTAATGGAGATGAGCCTGATTCCCCTAGAGTCAGAAACAACTAGCACGTATGTACAAGGGGAATCTTTGCCTTTAACTCTGCTTTAGATACGTTCACTGGCTCCAGAAAGGAGTGAAATTTGAGAAGAAAAGGGGAACGAGACAGAAAGACCAGATTTTCTTCATGTCTTGCATGAGGAATTTAATTTAGATTGATGCATCCAGTGCTTAAATTCTAAGTAAGTAAACCGAGCAAGGTGATATATATTCCAAGTATGATCTAGTTTGTCCCTGGGATCATAAATATTAGCTCACAGATAATGGATCACTACTCACCATCCAAGGTTCAAAAAGATATTCCTGTGCAGTCCATGGCCTACCCCGGTGATGGTGAACCTATGTCATGTCTGCCAGAAGTGGCAGGCAGAGCCATCTCTGCTGTCACATGAGCCATCACCCCAGCTCAGTTCCACTATGCATGTGCCTTCCGCCAGCCAGCTGATATTCAGATATCTGCGGCACATGCATGGGGGGCAGGGCACATGCGCAGGCGGGAGCATGGGGAGTCATGCACCCATGCGCAGAGGGTGGGGAGATCACGGGGGGATTGCATGTGCATTGCATGCACCCACTTTCGGCACGCAATGACAAAAAGGTTAGCCATAACTGCCCTACCCTATTAGAAACAGCATAAGCCTGCCTGCCCCTCTACACTTCTCTTTGAAGCGGTAAAAGACATACGCAGGAGATAGATTCTCTCTCCCGGAATTCTGCCAAATTTGCAGAGAGTCACTTTGGATAGTGAGAAGCATATTAATTTATTAACTAGATAAAAGTAAAATAAAAAATAAATAGTTTTATGCTGAAATTACTCACTTCTAAATGATTTTGCTCTTCACCTGTTTTATCCCTGCTGTCTCCTGAAAAGCAAAATAAAATATCAACTCTGGTGCAAGCGTTATCTTGTTTTATCAGAAGAACCTTCAACCTTTATCCTTCAACCATCTGCTTCTAAGAATACCGTAGGAAGTCAGCGATGCATAGAAAAAGACCCTGATGGGAATTTGCACAGCTGAGGCAAGATTATCAGCAGTTTCATCTTCCAGCTGTAACTCCATGTGGACATAGCCAAAAATATCTGGTAGATCAACCTAATCTTCTGCCGAGGGTTTCCAGGAGAAAGGGAAATTCTTGTTTGCACAGTTACCATCTGGTCATGCCATACTGTAAATATTCATTTGCCTAATGAATTCATTACAGTCACCCAAGGTTATTTTATCTTTGTGGTGGGCAATCTTGTAAATTAATCATACCAACCAGTGAAGGAATAGTTCATGGCATCATAGAGGTGGGGAGAGCTATTGGGAGTCTTTTGAATTTTCCTTTTTGCTTATTTCAGGAATCTAAATATAAGCATCCCACACTGATGCTTCCACTTGAACACTCAACAATCCAATAAAAAGGAGCCCACTGCCTTTTCCCTAACATTTGGAATCTGCCTTCTATTCCATGTTATGCATTTTGGAGCACGGGAGAACACTTCTATTGACATCCTTTCAGTGCTGCTGTAGCTGTCCACTGTAGTCTTTTATCACAGCTAACCATAAACAGCTCCTTCAATTTCTCTTCATACTGTGTTTCCCTGAAAATAAGATCGGGTCCTATATTAATTTTTGCTCCAAAAGACACATTAGGGCTTATTTTCTAGTTAGGTCTTATTTTGGGGAAAATATGGTACTAAATGCATCAGTGTGGCAGATGATCTTAACTGGGGCTTGAATATTGTTTGAGGTGTAGATACTCACTGAACTCAGTGCTTGATCTGGATTTTGAGTGAAGCCAAGCAGAAGGGAAATGTATAATTTAGAAATTATAATTTTGTGGATTTTATTCTAAAACAACATTTGCCTTTTTTGCAATCACATCATACTTCTGGCTCATACTTAACTTGAAATCAACTATTGCAACAATTTTTTTACAAGTATTAATTAACTAGATATCCCATATCCCATACCTGCGCGATTGATTTCTAACTAACGAACTTTGCACTTGTCTATCAAATTTCATACTGTTTTTTCAACCTATTTCTCCAAATTGGTTGATAATCTAGTTCAGAATTTCTACCTTTCAGGAAATTAGCTATTCTCCACAATTTTTTTAAATTATGTACCAATCTGATAAGCATCACCTCCATCTCATCAACCAGGTCATTAATGAAAATATTGAAGAATGGGGGACTTAACCTTGTGGCATCCTGTTTAATCCTCAGATCTTTTTAGTTTGATGAGGAACATTTGATGAACATCCTTTCAGTATGATTTTCATAGCAATCAATTATTTGGGTTTTTTTCTCCATACTGTGGATGTCTGGCAATCATTTGTAATAAAAACTGGATTTACCGTAGGTTTGTCCATTTATGCTACATTTTTTGAAGGTCATTATATTCTGTGTCAGTGTGCCTGTCTTGTCTGTGAAGACGTAGTGGATCTGTCCCAGCTGTTCATTCAAAGTGGTAGTTCTTGCTTTTGCAGCTGTATCCTTCTCTGGATAATACATCTGCAAGTCCCAGTTGATAAAATAACTTTGGCCCAGACGGATCACTTCAACACTAGAAAGCAAGAAACCACAAAGTTTATCCAGTTTTCAGAACTTCAGTGCACAAGAAACATTTAACAAGAATTGCGGACTTTTACAGAAGTACTAAGGAATGACCTGTCAATTTCAAACTGAATTGGATTTATGTCATTTTCATGCTTTTCAGTTGCCACACTGTATGGCAGGGGTCCCCAAACTTGGCAACTTTAAGACTTGTGGACTTCAACAGTTGAAATCCACAAGTCTTAAAAGTTGTCAAGTTTGGAGACCTCTCATGGGAACCAAGGTCATCCCTGCAGGTGTCAGATGAAAATAGGGGAGTGCCTAAGAAGCCCACCAATTGACTTTATTGGACAACGTGACTGGGGACATATGCTATTTTAATTATACTGTAAGCCTGGGGAATAATTAGAGTTGGTTTTGCATTTAAGCGTGCTGATACAATGTACCCAATAAAGAAGTCTTTTGAGGAAGAATCCCACCTTGGAGTTCTTATTTGTTTGGGCTCGTTAGTTGGAACCTTGACATGACCAATGCATCAAGCAATTTCTGAAGGGATTGTAGAAAACTATAGAATTTGTGAAATTTTTATAGATGCATTTTCATACATATTCCATTTTTAAACCTGGGGACAATTCCTGACAGACGGGGTGAGTTCCCTTCACCAAATATGTATATGTGTAGTGGCTCATCAGCCATCTGTGAATAATCTGGAGTCCCACACTGAGTAAATAAGAATGTGTGTCAATAATCAACTTTCCAACTCTTATGATTCTATAAATGCTAAGAAAAACTGTCTGGTATTCTAAATCCAAAGCCATTTTTAAATCAAAATACCCGTTTCATACATTAACATTTAGTGAGCCATGGTGGTGCAGTGGTTAGAATGCAGTATTGCAGGCTAATTCTGCCAACTGCCAACAATTTGATTCTTACCAGCTCAAGGCTGACTCAAACTTCCATCCTTCTAAGATCAGTAAAATGAAGACCCAGATTGCTGGGGGCAATATGCTGACTCTATAAACTGCTTAGAGAGGGCTGTAAAGCACAATGAAGCAGTATATAAGTCTAAGTGCTATTGTTATTTACAAACCTGCCAATTACCATATCCTAATCAGAGAAGAGACACGTTTTTCTGTTTCTCTTTAACTATTTTGGATATGCAAAGAAAGAAGAGAATAAAGACAGCAGCTTGTAACTGTATTTGTACAATATGCTAAATTTGGACTTGATTTACAAAATTAACGCAAGTGTCTCTGTGAATATCTTTGTTTACCCTATATATATTTATTTATTTGCTTTTTCCTCTTTTCTTTATAATTTTGTATATTTTTTCTTTGTTTTTTACATTTAATTTAAAAAGTTACTTAAAAATAAAATTAAACAAGTTAAATCTTCCTTAGGTTAGCATCTTGTACAATCCCAGCCAAGATAGTTGACTATCCCCTAGGCCTGCTTAAAGGATAAGATGTACCTCCATTGATGCAGGGGTCTTCAAACTTGACAGCTTTAAGACTTGTAGACTTCAACTCCCAGAATTCCTCCTCCAGTCATGTTAACTCAGGAATTTTGGGAGTTGAAGTCCACAAGTCTTAAACTGGCCAAGTTTGAAGACCCTTGGATTAAAGTATCAATGCAAGAGACGGTCCTGTCCAGCCAGTGAATCTGGAATCTATAATACTGTATTAAGATTCAGGATCAACTGCAGTGACATAGGATAATGTACTCTCTGTGTCCTTTCCTCTCTTTCAGAGGGAAAAAATGACCAAAGAGCAGAATGAAAGGATATCATTGTGTTTATAATTGTTCTTAAATTCAAAGTTGCCTTCCTTTTAGATAAATGTCATACTGTGGGAAAGAGTTTTAATACTTGTCTGCATCAACCTGTTTCCTCCTCTCCATATTTTGTGGGAGAAACGAGTGGAAAAGAATTTTTGTGGGATGAAATTTACAATCTACATGCCTCACACTTTATTTTAAAAAATTCTTTTAAACAAATAAATATCTCAAGCGTATTTTCATGAACACTTTTAGGCCCATATGCCCAGAGGTATTTTTTATACAATCTGAAATCTAGCCACTTGTCCAGAGAAATAGATGTCAGCTGGTTGGCAGAGGCCATCCTCAAAGACGAGAAATGTGGTAGAGAACAATTTCACCAATTTCCTTTCTAATAACTATAATAATAATAACTATTAGAAAATGAACTGGTGCAATTAAGTATTTTATGACTGCCCATGCCATCCTAGCCAAAAATAAATATTTACCTGCCCCCCCAAACAACTGGAATCTCTGATTTATTAGAACAACTTCAAGCTTATACTCAAACCATAATAAAAGTTCTTGTCTTTCTTACCTCACATAGAGGGATATGGGAACCATGGTGTTTAGCACAATGATGTAGCCCCAAAAGTTAAGGAAGCCACGGTATGAAGGGGAATTATCTTCACCATCATAGAGATACCAAGAAGAATTGCCAATTTGTTGTTCCCAGTAAGTGTGTCCAATAGCCAGACCAGCAGACTCCAGGATAAGTAGTACAAAAATCTGAAATGTAAATACAACCAAATCCATGTTTATGAAATAATATTCCATCCCCTAGATATCATGAAGAATCTCAGATTCACACACTGGTGCTTGAAGAGGGGAGAAAAACAGGTCTGCCATTGCTATTGCAAATGAGTTTAGAATGTTCTGTCCCAGAAAGAGATGTAGCACATCTAATGATTTGGGCAACTCAGCAGCACAAAGGCTGAACTAATATCAAAAATAAACGTGCCACCACTTTGTGCATTTGTTTGATATAAATCCAAACAATAAGATGAGAAACTGTATAGTACAGTGCACAAAATAAATAATTAGATGTACTTTTTAAAATATCCATAATCTTCACAGTGGCTTCCCATGACTCACTATTCAAATTCTATAAGAAACTACTAAAAGAGTTGGCCGCGCTTAGCTTGAAGAAGTAAATCTAAAGCAAAGGTGTCAAACTCAAGACCTGGGGGCCAGATCTGGCCGGCAGGGTGCTTAGACCTGGCCCATGGGCCTGCCTGGAAACAATGAAGAACCGGCCCATTAAGCCTGTACCAGCAAAAATGGAGCTCAGGAGGACCACACACGGTCTGCCCAGGCTTCGTTTTTGGCCACAATGGCTTCCTGCAGCCCTCTGCCAACAAAAAATAAGAGCTCCGGGAGGCCGCACACAGACCGCCCAAGCTCCCTTTTTAGCCGTGACAGCCCCCTTCAGCCCTCCTTCAACAAAAACAGAGCCAAAGCCGGCCTCACATGGCCTCCCCAAGCTCTGTTTTTGTTGGCAGAAGACTACAGGAGGCCGTCGCAGGCAAAAATGGAGCCTCGATGTGTGACATTGAGCAGGCCACGCCGATCCCAGCCATGGCCTGGCTACCCTCACCCCCCACCCCTGAGGTCAAACACCACCTGATGCAGCCCTCAATGAAATTGAGTTTGACACCCCTGGTCTAAAGTTAAGTGATAATAATCTGGTAATAATTTTTCAATAAGTGAGTTAGGCCGTCACAACGGAAAGAGTTTTAGAGTTGTCAAAAGGACAGAGCCGATTTCTGTTGCGGCCGGTGGCAAGACAAGGATCAATAGGTTGAACAGATTTTAGGAAGAACTTCATAACAGCAAGAGCCATTTCTCCCCTTTTAGGAGCAGCTGGCTGTTTCTTTCACTATTTCCATTAAAAAAGAGGTATTATGTAGAAGATGTGGATTTTATTTTGATTTTTTGCTTTTCTTGCTAAATAGGCTGCTGATCAATCGATATAGAGGTAGCCGTCCCTTATTGATTGGTCACTGAGCAAGAGTTCAAAGTTGTAACAGAGCCCTTCCACAAGGTACTTACAATCTGGTTGTGGAGTTTTGATGGCTACACATGGTTGGGCACATGGTTGCAATCTGAATGCTTGGCAACCAGCTCCTTTTTATGGCTGCTTGCAGGGTCACATCAAAGTGATTTTTGGCATTTTTTTTTGCCGGTTTCTGGCATTTACTTCAAGTTTTGGGCAAAAACATACCCATTGCATAAACTGGATTTGTTTATTGACTGCAGAATTTGTGTAATAATCCTTGCTTTAAAACAAAAGGCATAAAATCGGGTGTGATAATATGGTGACCTACTTAAAGACTGACAGGACTTACAGCCATAATTCCATGTCCAGTTATGGTTGTAAGTTGAGAACTATCTGTATTGATGCATTCCTTGCAAATATGGGTCCTGCATTCTATTTGACAGAACTGGTTGTAAGGAAACCAGAAGCTTTCTTCTTGATAAATATTTGACTTTAACAGATCAGTAAACAATTTTGTGCTACAGCTTTTGTTAACTCTAACTAAATACCGAAGAGGAAAACTAAACTGAAATATCTTACTGTGTACACCATATAATTCATAAGAGAGTCGATTTTGGTCCTTTTAAACCGTGTTTTCCCACTGTTCTTCATTATTTTTGTGTCAGCCCCTAAAATCACATAAAAACTACAGTGTAAATGTCATTATTTTCAGACACATATTAACAATACACATTTATTTTCTTAGGTGTATAATAAGAATATTTTGGCAACATATTATGTTGCATTATTTATCGTAGTCTTAACATGTCAAAAACTCAGAAGTGGTGGTATTCAGCAGGTTCTGATCAGTTCTGGAGAACTGGTAGCAGAGATTTTGAGTAGTCTGGAGAACCAGCAAATACCACCTCTGACTGGCCCCACCCCCATCTATTCTCTGCCTCCTGAGTCCCAGCTGATTGGCTGGGTCTTCTTTTGTTGCCCTGCACAGGAGAATGGAGCTGGAAAGAAGGTTAGTGGGGCCGGGAGGAAATGGGATTTTGCAGTAACCTTCCCCCAGGAGTGGGGAGGGAATGGAGATTTTACAGTATCCTTCCCCTACCACACCCATAAAGTCACACCCACCAAGCCACACCACGCTCACCAAGCCACGCCCACAGAACTGCTAGTAAAAAAAATTGAATCCCACCATTGCAAAAACTGAATATACATTTGTGAGAAAATGATCTCTTTTTACATAAAAAAGCCAGCAAGTGATATTTCATTCATTAGATAGATACCTGCAAAAATGACAAGTCCATGACATACTTCCGTGTTCCGGATTTTACAACCACGCAACAAAATTTTATCAGAGTCCAAAGCGTATCTCTTTCCTCGCCATATCAAGGTGCCTGTAAATTTATCTAGACGATTGTTGGGCTCTTCACACTCTACCAGGCCTAGATGGTTATTAAAAAAGAGCAGAAAGAGGAAAGAAAAGATTCTGGATCACAACATTGTACTTAAATATTTTCATGGCAGATTGCTCTACATGGCAAGTGAACGGTAGATGACATGCAATTCAAGTAATCCTTGCTTAGCTACCATAGTTGGGACTGGCAATTCAGTCATTATGCGAAGTGATTGCTAAGTGAAACTGTGGCTCTACTTATGATCTTATTTCAACTTTTCCAAGAAGGCCATAAATGTGAGGATTGGTCAAAGTTACTTTGACATCACTTCAAAACTGTATCACTAAACAAGGTAATGACTAAACAAAGCCTGCCTGTACTTCACACATACGGTAGTAATTACAGGGAATTACTCCTTTTCATACACATTTTAGAACAGGGCTGTCAAACTCGATTTCATTGAAGGCTGTATCAGGGTTGTGTTTGACCTTGAGGGGCCAGGGTGGGCATGGCCTGCTCGACATCACTCATGTTGGGGGCACCGGTAGTGGCCTGAGCACTCTGCCAGTGAAAATGGGCTCCTGAGCTCCATTATTGGCAGTGATGGCCTCCTGCAACCCTCTGCCAGCGAAAACAGAGCTCAGGAGGGCTCCATTTTAGCTGACAGAGGCACCGCAGGCCAGTCCTTTGCTGCTTCCAGGGTGGCCCCACAGGCCAGATCTAAGCACCCCACGGGATGGATCCGCCCTTCCCCCCGGTCATTGAGTTTGATACTCCTATTTTAAAGCCTCTTGAAAATGTTGCTTATAACTTTAGAAGGCTCTGGAAAAGGGCCTTACAAAATCTGAAGAATCCTAGTTAGAATCTGTATTTTGCACAACCTATTTGTATGAACATTTGTATGAACTTATTTAGCAGAACCAAGTTCTTATATACCACTTTGGAGACAAAGGATCATGGTCAGAATGACAATTAAGTTTATTACTATAATTACCGTTTGCTATTAAAGACTCGTGTCTCCGAACTTTCTATTCTCATGGTAGGGGTTAAAAAAGGAAGTACAGTAAAGCATTTTTCTTATATAAGAGCCAAGCTGTAAGGATGCATCTGTCTTTTAGGCCAGAGCAACGAGGAAGCAACAGTGAATATTTCCTTGAGGTCTAATGCCCCTAATGGTTAATAAGATAAAAGGTGTAAAGTATCCTGGCTTTCAGAACTGTTTTTACAAACAGCAGTAGCATAGGGAATTAAGAAGGAAGGACACTCTCTCCCCAAAGGAGATGGAGACATCTTATATGGAATGGGAGTTCTTCTCAAAGATAGTAAATCCAATTATGAATGGGCAATCCAACCATTGCCCATTTTCCCTCATTCAAAGTTCACGTCCGTCCTATTTAGAGGAGCCCTTAAATGTTCTCCTCCACATGGACCAGCTGGAAGGTTACTGGGAGAAGAACGCAGGGAATGAATTCCATGGCATTCTCACGAGGTTAGATGCAACTCATTGAATTTAGCAGAAATTTAATATTTTCCGCCCCATGATGTGCAATAGGAACACACATCAGTTTTTCTATCAATGTAAGCACCTCTTGCAGAATTTCATCTAATAAAGCAGTTTATGGAGAATTTTACAAACGACTGAGACACTCAGAATGTAGAAGCTAAGTAGCTACACAGAAAACAATATATGCTTTTTGTAATGGAAAAATGTTTCAAACTTAATGGCTTCTACTAAGAAATAAAAAGGAACAACAGGCCTAATGTTAATGGGGTTTTCTTGGTTATTGAGCCCTTGTTAAAATGTTTTTTTGGTATACACGTGAAAAAGTTCCTTATCTTAAAGACTGGATAAAAATCTTCGGGTTTGATGGAAGATAAATTTCTAAAGATAATTTAGAGATTAAAAAGGGAAAGTATGCTTGAACAAACCATCAAATACTGCAAGTGAACTTTCTTCCTGAAGGCACCTGTCTGTTACTTCCAGTGACATTTTGAACTTTAAGTTGGTTTCACTAGCAGAGAGAGAGAGAGAGAGAAAAAAGATAAGTTTCATTCGTCAAAGTTTAATAAGATAAATGAAGGATTTCAGTTCTTTTTTTAAGTTTGCTTAAGACTCTGCATTTATTTATTTTTGATTACATTTTGTCTTTTCTATTTTTCTGGTTATTTTATTTCAAATATGAATAAAGTAACAGTGGCAAAATCTATAGGCCTTCCCTGCATGATATCTCAAAATAAATTGTATTCCAATTTCTAGACGGGCCCCATGGCCAAGTAATTACACAATAGATTAAAAGCTGCTCTACTACTTCCTCCGTTAAATCTAATTAACAGAATGCATTTTATTAACAAAGCAGACTAGTACATTGCATGGGATGGTTAGAGATATAATATTGTGGTTCATAGTTATTTGGCAGAATTACATCATTTTCCTGAGGAAAATAAAACATAAAGCAGTTTTTTAAAAAACAAACTTGCTGAATAGACTTGATGAAAATAGGTTTTGAATGAGAATGGGAACTACTGCATATAGAACCAGCATATAAAATTTTCCTCTTTTTTTGTCATTGTATCACAATGGGAAATGGCTGCTTATGGCTGTTCGGGTCACCCTGTTCATGTTATTTATGCGGTGATTATACTATTGAACCAAATTAGAGAGCAACAGCTAACAAAACAAACTCAACCACAAGAGTGATAAATTTCTTCTTTAAAAGAAGAAGCACTAGCCTCATCATAATTTACAAGAAAAAAACACAATTTATAAATTTTGACAGATTGGTCATGCTATATTTCTCTCACTTATATTTTATATGCTTCAAACAGAATTAGATGTGTAATTATAAAAAGCAAGATCTACGTATATTCTCAATAATAAACTGTAATGTACAAACAATATACAGTACTATTTTAACAACATTACTTCAGCTTCATTCATGTCCTATACATGCAAAATGGAATAAAAGATAAAATTGTAAAATATAATATTTTAATATTTAAATATGTCCCCTAAAATCCCTTCTGTAAGAATGTAACTCTGTTGTTAAGACAGCCCACAAGCAATATTTTGGGCATGTTTGGAGAATGAAAGTGAGAATAAAAACTTACCCATCTAATTCAGCTGTTTCTACGTAACAAAAGCTATTGGGTTCTGAACTGGACAACAATAAAATATCAGCCTAGTTAAATAAAGAAAATGAATTAAATGTACATAAGCATGACATTTCAATTTTCAGTGTAAACTTATACCAGGGGGGGATTGAACTGGTGTTACTACTGGTTCAGCAACGTACATCTTGTGTGCTGTGCATGTAAAAAATCTTAAACTATGCCCCCCAGACAGCTGAAAAGCGCTGTGCGTGGGCGCGCAGTGTTTGAAAAGCCTCTTTTTCCCTTCTTTTTCAACCCCAGTTGTGCCACGCAAAGCAGCTGAGGTTGAAAAAGCAGAAAATAAAGGACAGGTAAGAGCCCGGGCAGGCGGGTGGGCCAAACAGCAGCAGATACAGAACCGGTTTGGTGTCTGCTGCTCTTCAGAGCTACCAGTTCTATAGACCCTGGCAGAACCGGTAGCATCCTACCCCTGATTTATACACCTTCAAAGCTTTTGTACTTACAGGAACAAAGGCATTTTTCCCCAGACGGATGATATCACCAACTGCAATGTCTTTCCATTTTGTGTTCTGAAAACTAAGTAACAAGATATTTACATATAGAAATGTGTTCATTATACATGTAGAAGTAAAATTATAATGTCATAATTATTAAAGAAAAGCCTCTGTATTTTGCTCCAAAAATGTATAGACTAATAATACAAACTTCCCTATAAAAAATATTTAGCCTGTATACTGAACACTGTATTTATGATTCAGGGGACAATATTTTTCAGCAGTGAGCATCACTGTGCCATTTCGCATAATACAAGAAGTGTGAAAAGAAATAATTATAGTTTATTATTTCTAAATTTCATGTTCTCTTTCTCATTTAAATATTGACCTCCTTCTTATTACAGAAAGTTAAAAAAACATTTGGCCATACATACCCCTAAATGTACAGGATTATAGATACTGGTTTAAAATATGTAATTGTTTTATTTTTCTTATGAACAAAGGCAAATATACATGTCACAGGATAATGTTGCAAGATTCTGTGAGTCATATCTATTGGTTGA